ATACGTAGTGTGTCTTCTATAACCTCTATTCTTGTTCTCCACTTCATCATCTATCCATATTTGTTCTTTTTTAGTTCTCTGCTCAACACAACCCTTGTCTAAAGTTCCTAAAACCTTGATCTACCCAAGAAAGATCTCTGGTGGTAACATGTTAGGTATGGCTAGTGGTTGGTCATCGTCATTGAGCCTTGTGACACTAGTTCAGTATACGTTAATTGTCCTGAAGACGTTGAGGAGGTTGCTAGTAAAGCGTCGCCTAAACGAAGTTAGTTTTCATGGTATGCTAACGGATTACGCAAACGTTGTTAGGAATAAGTTCACATCAAATGGTTATGGTCTCGTTCCATCGTATTCTGAGAAGGTTTCATGTTCATCCTGTATCTTTCACCAATGTTACAAATACTTAGTTTTTATGCTTTTGAAATTGTCGTTTTATGACTATTATTTTAGAGCATAGACATTGAAGAATCTTGTGGTAGTACAAGTATTTTCAACATTTTTTTTTTGAAAAATTCTCTAGTTTGAATTCTTCGAAATTTCTCATCTTAATTTTCACCTTTACTTTAGAATCCTTTCGATACAAGAAATCGTCGGGATTTGAGGTACTTTATACGATATATTGAATTTAAGTTTTATAGCGTTAATAACTCTCATCTGTCCATGGTAACTTTGCTATAATTCTATGGATAAATTATGTTTTATATATAACAGATTATTGATGATCCTACTTCACCTGAAGGTGTTCAGCAAGAACGACGTATGAAGTTACTGTCGTTAATTAATAATATAGCCCTTGATAAAGGGTTGGATGGTCGAAATTATTAATGTCATGGTTGTTCCAGACCAATTGGAATGATTATGATCAATGAATTCTCGACTTGTTATTTGCTAATAACTCAAATATATTTATTTTCAAATTTCTTAGCTTAATAAATGTTATCTTTGTAGAAACTATTATGACAAAGTACATAATCCCTTTTTTCCGTGAAGCCCATGGATGCGTTCGTTCGTGATGAAACAGTCATATTGTATAAGGAGGCTCTCGTTCATCGCGAAAGATTTATGAGAAAAATACGTTGTAAAAGGTAATAAGTAAAAAACGTATAAACATGCTTAGTGTTTGTTTAAGTTATAGTTCAAAAAGGCAGAAGTTGTTTGAACCTTTGATGTATCGTTGGACGTTCTAGTTTTTTTTATGAGAAGAATTCTTGTAAAGAAAAAGACAAATTTTGAAAACCAAAAAATCCCGTTTTCGGTCCAAGCCTCCCGATACCCATAGATAGTTGATCACTACAGAGTCGCATGTTAACTAAGGGAAAAACATAATCCTTGTTTGTTTTCCATGAAACATATGGATGGTTTGCTCGTGATACATGAGAAACAGTAAATGGGAGAGTTACATCAGAAAGATATAAACCGATAAAATTGATATAAAACTTGTTTAATGTTGTCTTTATTTATAAGTGTTAGACAGGGTCATAAGAAGTTAATTGAAACATTTCTTGCTTTGTTTTATGAGAAGAAAACAAAAAGATAAAATTCCAAAGCAAAAAACCCCGTTTTCGGTCCATGCTTCCCTATACCTTCTTAAGCGCAAGTCACTAGAACGCCGCATGTTAACGTTTCAGTAGGAGATTTCGGCCCCTCCACGCTATCCTACTTGGGAGATGCCAATAGCAAGCTTCCGCCCATCAGACCCTGAGATCACCTGCGATAGGCTTTGCTCAGGGTACGCAGGGAGAGTGCGGTCGCCACCAAGTGAGGGCCCAAAGCCACTACATACTATATCGCACCCAGCTTCCACTGCTAGTTGACATCTACTATATGAAGTTTTAGCTTTATATATATATACCAAAATTTAAAGGCGTACGAAAGTTATGGGATGATTGTTATCGTTACTGCGCATGCCCAGATCATTTCTTTGATAATTTGCGACTAAGTGAGTTAATTGACACAAATGTAGTGCAAGTATATATAGTTGGTCGTTGTCATGACTATGAACAATTACTCGAGTGGACTGCGCATGCTCGAGCGCATAGGCAGACGATTTCTCTATTAAATTGTTACTAAGCATGTTATTTACTTCAAAATTGGTGCTAGTAGATGCAGTTGGTCGTTGCCATGACCATGAACTTGGGGAGCTGGTCAAGTTGACTGCGCATGCTCAATGAGATTGCGCATGCGCAGATTATTTGTCTTAAAACGTGTGACTGAGCGAGCTAATTGCTCCAAAATCGGTACTAGTACATCCAGTTGAACAAACTTGACCAGTAACCCAGTTCATGGTCATGGCAACGACCAACTGCATCTACTAGCACCAATTTTGAAGTAAATAGCATGCTTAGTAACAATTTAATAGAGAATCATCTGCGCATGCGCTCGATCATGCACTCCACTCGAGTAATTGTTCATAGTCATGAAACCGACAACTATATGTACTTCCACTACATTTGTGTCAATTAACTCACGTAGTCGCAAATTATCAAAAATCATCTGGTCATGCGCAGTAACGATAACAATCATCCCACAACTTTCGTACGCCTTTAAATTTTGGTATATATATATAAAGCTAAAACTTCATATAGTAGATTTCAACTAGCAGTGGAAGCTGGGTGCGATATAGTATGCAGTGGCTTAGGGGCCTAACTTCGGTGGCGACCCACTCTCCTGCGTACCCTGAGCAAAGCCTATCGCAGGTGATCTCAGGGTCTGATGGGCTTGCTATTGGCATCTCCCAAGTAGGATAGCGTGTAGGGTATCCTACCGAAACGTTAACATGCGGGGTTCTAGTGCCTTGCGCTTAAGAAGGAATCGGGAAGCATGGACCGAAAAAGGGGGTTTTTTCCCTTCGAATTTTATCTTTTTGTTTTCTTCTCATAAAACAAACCAAGCAATGTTTCAATTAACTTCTTATGACCCTGTCTTTTTCTGACACTTATAATTAAAGACAACCCTAAACATGTTTATACCAATTTTATCGGTTTATATCTTTCTGATTTAACTCTCCCATTTACTGTTTCTCATGTATCACGAGCAAACCATCCATATGTTTCATGGAAAACAAACAAGGATTATGTGGTTCCCTTAGTTAACATGCGACGCTCTAGTGCTCAACTATCTCGGGGTATCGGGAGGCATCGACCGAAAACGGGATTGTTTGGTTTTCAAAATTTATCTTTTTCTTTACAAGAATTCTTCTCATAAAAAAAACTAGAACGTCCAAGGATACTTCAAAGGTTCAGAAAATTTCTGCCTTTCCAAACTTTAACTTAAACAAACACTAAGCATGTTTATACGTTTTTTACTTATTACCTTTTACAACGTGACTTTCTCATAACTCTCTCGTGATGAACGAGAGCCTCCTTACTATGACTCTTTCATCATAAACGAACGCATCCATGGGCTTCACGGAAAAAAGGGATTATGCACTTTTTATAATAGTTTCTACAAAGGATAACATTTATTAAGCTAAGAAATTTGAAAATAAATATATTTGAGTTATTAGCAAATAACAAGTCGAGAATTCATTGATCATACTCATTCCAATTGGTCTGGAACAACCATGACATTTATAATTTTGACCATCCAACCCTTTATCAAGGGCTATATTGTTAATTAACGACAGTAACTTCATACGTCGTTCTTGCTGAACACCTTCAGGTGAAGTAGGATCATCAATAATCTGTTATATATAAAACATAATTTATCCATAGAATTATAGCAAAGTTACGATGGACAGATGAGAGTTATTAACGCTATAAAACTTAAATTCAATATATCGTATAAAGTACCTCAAATCCCGACGATTTCTCGTATCGAAAGGATTCTAAAGTAAAGATGAAAATTAAGATGAGAAATTTCGAAGAATTGAAACTAGAGAATTTTCAACAAAAATGTTGAAAATACCTGTACTACCACAAGATTCTTCAATGTCTATGCTCTAAAATAATAGTCATAAAACGACAATTTCAAAAACATAAAAACTAAGTATTTGTAACATTGGTGAAAGATACAGGATAAACATGGAACATCCTCAGACGACGATGGAACGAGACCATAACCATTTGATGTGAGCTTCTTCCTAACAACGTTTGCGTAATCCGTTAGCATACCATGAAAACTAACTTCTGGTTTAAGCGAAGATTTACTAGCAACCTCCTCAACGTCTTCAGGACATTTAACGTATACTGAACTGGTGTCAAAGGCTCAATGACGACGACCAACCACTAGCCATACCTAACATGTTACCACGAGAGATCTTTCTTGGGTAGATCAAGGTTTTAGGAACTTCAAACAAGGGTCGTGTTGAGCTGAGAACTAAAAAAGAACAAATATGGATAGATGATGAAGTGGAGAACAAGAATAGAGGTTATAGACATACTACGTATGACCATAACCATTTGATGTGAGCTTCTTCTTAACAACGTTTGCGTAATCCGTTAGCATACCATGAAAACTAACTTCTGGTTTAGGCGACGCTTTACTAGCAACCTCCTCAACGTCTTCAGGACATTTAACGTATACTGAACTGGTGTCAAAGGCTCAATGACGATGACCAACCACTGGCCATACCTAACATGTTACCACGAGAGATCTTTCTTGGGTAGATCAAAAGTACCTCGACGTTATGAAAAGCCCAATGTAATCTTTCTTGGGTAGATCAAAAGTACCTCGACGTTATGAAAAGCCGAATGTAATCTTTTAGAAGGGCATGAGATATTGCATATGATCCAAACCATACAATCCTGTTTTCAATGCCATCATAATGCTTTTCGTAGCACAAGAGGAGCAAGGTCTACAATACACTAAATAATTTATTTAAGTCAAATAATTATGAAGTGAAGCCTAACCTATAACAAATCAGAACTTACCCTTCACATCATGGATTGAACAAAAGTACGCAACTGAACACAAGTCTACGTACAACCATTCATCTTGAATAGAACGTTTATCCCACTCTGCACCACAAGAACAAATACCACTTTCAGATGGCCAAAATTTTATGACCATTTTTTCAGGAAGATCAGTAAAATCGCTTGCATCATTCTCATTGCCTAAAATAATTAAATTGTAATATTTACAAAATGCTAGAAAGTACTAAATACCATACCGATAAAGGAAATAGTATATGTAAAGCTAAAAGGATGTTCACCATTGCAGATTATCTTGCATACCTGTTTCAAATAAAGAAACCTTTTCTTTGCTAAGTGTAGCCAATTCAAAATAGTCTCGCATCTGGTGTAATTCCAAAGGAAAACTTAAAAAGTGCCAATGGAGAATCCATTTCATCCTCGTCAATGATTTGCAAGGGTTGTCACATGAATGCAATGATATGACGAACAGCTGCAACATTTTAACTCGGGGTGGGGCGGCATTACTTTTGAATACACAAAAGTACAAACCCCCCATGGACTATTCACTGGTTTTACAGCAATCCACTGAACCTCCCTGCACTAAACAAGTCCAAAATATGTAAAATCATTTATCTTAAGGTTGTATTATGTGTGTATGTATGTGTGTGTATGTATGTGTGTGTATGTGTATGCAGATTAATAATTATGATTAATTATGACTTCACAAAATCCTTAGAAAGTGCTTAATATATATATATCAGGCACGTAAAGCAAATGGTGAATATGACTTTACTATTTTTGTCATACATTTAGTTTATACTACTTAATGTATGTACTGTAAGTATGTGGCTATGTATGTATGTGAGTATGAATGTTTATACCTCAATAGTCATAAATAAATTCAATTTGCCCTGTTGGTTATCACCCTAATAGCTTTATAGAAGCTCCTGAACTTAGGCACAGGATGTATGGTAACAAATTGTGGGGTATTAGAAGGTTGAGAAACAATACGTGTATTTGTACAAAAAAGTTATTTTCACATAACAAAATATACTTCTTCAGGTTGCATCTCATGGTAGGAATGATCACTGAAAACAGACTGCATCATGGATGTGGATTCTGCATTCTTAAAAGAAATTGATGAGATAAATATATTGTGTAAATAATCATTCACAAGTTTTAACAATATTTTTGCTTGTAAAGCTGTGCTGGTTAACATCCACATGTAATAAGAACAATGTCGAACAAGGGTCTTGTAAAACACAGAAGGATGACTTCACAAGGGTTTGAAATGTCCAATAAACTGATATTTAAGGATGAAGACATTTTCTCCCATACCACATGAAGAACTTTACATTGAAAAATAAGCCAAATACAAATTTGAGACATTCACTACATGCAATGTCAGATTAATATGTAACAAGTTCTCACATCTTTGACAAGGGTCTTGAAACAAAGAGTATGTAAGTGTAAGTCAAAATTTGGTGAAGCTGTTCAGACACCTTATATCCTGAAAGAGTAACACACAACACTTACTTTTTTCAATAAAATCTTTGGCTTCAAAACCAAACTTTCTATCATACACAACCAGATATTTTTTCCATTGCTAATATGTGTATGCAACTAGGATATGGTATATCTGACAAGTACAAGAATGTTGTTTTTTTGGGCTATTTTAATCATTTCATTTCAGTAACATCTATTTTACATACCTTTTTGAGGATCTAATTGTATATTATTAGGTAGGGCTTCAACAAATTGCTTTCTATTTGCATCACATGAGCAGCACAATATCCAACCATAGCCATCAAGCAATAGGTGGGGATATCGATGTACAAATACAAATGAATTATGCTGAAAAAAAAATACATGCAGATTATAGCACCAAAAAAAAAGCGTATTGAGTAATATCATTTAGTTGGGTATATACCCAACATTGAAATTATGGAAATAAAATTTGACATCACCATAATTGTTCTTTTGTTTGCATTATAATCATGAACAACAAAGGATTGCTGATGTGATACATTTGATGCAAAGTCAAACTGTAACAATAGCCCAGTATAGTGGCCAGTGGGTGACAAATGACTCTGAAAGAGAAAGTACACAGTAATTATTAATGTTCACTGTTTCAAAATATCTATTGTAATATATTTTTATGTTTGTTGAGCACATTTCTACCAGATGTTAATAAAGTTTTGCTACACAGTGTTTCATGCATAAGCAATCAACAAGCATATTGTCAATTTATAACACATTAAAACATGACTAGTGGTAAACAGTATAAAGTATAACTGTATATGTGAGAACTACTTGACTATGTTGACATGGTTGTTTGGGTTCCTCTGTAATAATAGAGATAGATTGCTTGGTAAAGATATCTTCAGAGTCCTACAAATAAAGACCATTATTTAATTTAAAATGTGTACAGACTTTTAATAAGTGTTTAAATAATGCATGCCTTCTTTAAATTACTTCAAATTTTTAGTTATTTCTAGTGAAAGCAGTCCTACATATAACCACTTCCAATGACTTTTCATGAGAAACAATATCAATATGTACATTAAAACCTGTGTTTTGGTGGTTAACTCTTGGTGCTTGTCATAATTTTCAGCAATATCTTCACTTTGTTCATTCTACATATAAATGAAAAAAAACCCATAAACATAGCGTATTTTTATATCTACATAGTTTTACATTATATGTAAACTTACCAAATCCCCAAATTCATTTTCTTGTTCAAAAAATTGAGATTCATATGACACACTGCTATTCTATTAACATATATGACATTGTGATTAAAGGATGTAGAGAATCCAGACTTGAAATTGGAAAATGTGCTCCGAATAAGTGTTTTTCCTTACACCACATTGTGGGCATAAATAAATTTGTACACATACTTTTGTTAATATAACTGTGGTAATAAAAATAAATTAATATGAAATTGTGCAACCAGAAACAATAAAAAGAACACTTTAAAAATTCCTACCGCATCATCTTTTTGTGTGTTTCCTTTCCTCTCCACGTTTTTGTAAAAGAAGTCATTTGAGCGTCTGAATTTCTTCCTGAATTGATAAATTTTGCAAGTGTACCCAAAAATTAATACCCCGATTTATAAAAACCAGTACTGCACGTGTTCTTGGATTGACAAAGTTAGCCTAGAATTAGTCTAAGTACCATTCTCCCAGCCAGACTTCCCGATAGATATTTAAAAAAGTACTAAGCATAGTACTGAGTGACTGAGCCCTGTTGATCGATTGCCTTGCTTCGAACTTTTGATGTTGCAAACTCCTAAAAAATATGAATACGCGAAGAAATATTGTCCTCATACATGAACTTTGAAAATGTAGTAAATGGAAGCCCTGAAATTTCTTCTTGAGCTGCACCAGTCGGATAATATACACGATATAGTTAACATACCACTTGTTCAGAATACGCCTTTTTGAAAGCATGTCCATAATTATTCACTATCATCCATTGTAACCACTATCAACATCCTAATGTCATTGGTCAAAAATAGTCACATGTTTGATTTACTTTTGCCTTTCATTCATGTCATTTCTAGATATCAATTTTCTTATTCGTCCAACGTTCAATCAATAATAAAAAAATATTTATTGTAAATTTTATTACAGCAAATGAACGTGACGCCAAGAGTTTGTAAATCATATGCAATTTTTCGTCGTGGTATAGTGAACTATCTCGACCTTATTTAAACCTGAACATTTTTACGAAGATGGTTCGAAGTTCTCTGCAATCTCTCACCAGTTTAAAGAAGCAAAAGACAAAGTAGGATCTTTAACTCAAGATCCAGGGAATGAATTGAAGTTAAAGATGTACGCCCTTTTTAAGCAGGTATTTTACGATTCATAAAGATATTGTATCCGGTTTTTACATAAAGCTTGAACATTAGTTGTTGTATCTCCTAACTACAAGCTCTTCAATTAAATGGTGACTTTAAATTTTTAAGCACAATGTGCATCATTGCATTTGAATCACATTTTTGCAAAGGCACAGTGAATTTTTTTCAATTATAACTGTTCACAGTCCCACCATACAATACAATCAAAGTTAAAAATAAGACGAACCCAAATAACAATATACATTTCCAGGGTTCTTTAGGCAATGTAATACACCAAAGCCTGGGACTTTGGACTTTGTTGGAAAGGCAAAATGGAATGCATGGAACGATTTGGGTGATTTATCACAGGTGAATATTTAGTTTAAGAAAGGCTGCACTTATCTTATAATGAACATTCAATATGTATCTAGTTTCAAACATCACCAAAGGACTGTATCTTTCAACAATTTTATTGAACACTCTCACAAGTCTTACTAAAATCTATCGTCATCAAATTATTTACAGTAAAAAGTTGTTTTGTGCAAAGTTGACAGCACACCGTTAATTAAGAACTGAGTGTGTGGGTCTTCTGGAAATTATGAGTACCTACCGAACATACAGCTAAAATATCTGCATGTAAATCTGTGCTTTTCAATGGTTTTAATATACATAGTTTCTCTCCAAGCCATGCAATCTGAATTATATCCCTATTTGTATTTACTAAGAATTCCTTAACATTTAGGAGAGTAAAATCTTGTACTTAACATTCTTAGTATTGGTGATGCAGGAAAAAAATGCAAATGTACCATTGATTCTCTATCAAATACCTATGTACTTTTGAAAAAAACTTCTATTGCATGTAATGAATACTTTTAAATTGAACTTTTCTTTTAGGTAGATGCACAAAACAGTATATAGCACTTGTGGAATCTTTACTAGGTGATTTTGAATTTTGCTGTGTATTATAAACACAAAGCTTTTCTGCAAAATATTCTGTATAAACATCATTTCCTGTTGTGTACATGTCCTTCTCAACATTGAACTATAGAACAGATTTTTTGACTAACAATGTTTTTAACATTACAGGAGTAAGTTTGTTATATGTCTACAGTTTTTTTTTTGTTTTTTTTAAACCTGTCTTAGTTAACTTTAATCACGATTTTGATTAAAAAAAAGAAAAAATTAAAATTTAATTAAAATTATAAACTACAACATGCAAATATAAATGTTAAAAACTAAATCAAAGATAACTAACATCAATGTTTAAAATATCCATGATAAAGGGACAGTCAAGTGTAAAGACAACTTTCCCAATAACCTAGGTCAATATTTAAAGTATGTTCGCGAGTTGAGGCAGATCGACTTCCTCGTATCGCAGTAATTGCTGACCTAATCAGTGCGAAAGACAGTTTACAACGCATCCACGCTAGCCTGATGCCATATTGCAGCTTTCTCTGCCAGCAGATCAGCTAGCCGCTTATAAGCAATTGCTGTCTCTTTCCCCATACCACCTGATGTTGAAAAAACCAGTGGTGTAAAAGCAGCATATTCAATCTCTCTTACTCGATCACCATATTCCCTTTATATGTCTACAGTTATTAAAGTTAAATATTGTTAAAAAGGTTTGACATGCAAATGAAACACCTTAGTCATTCATTAAGGAGATGAAACATCTTTGAACTCAATCTCTTACACTTTTGGGCTGTTTAGTCCAAAACAGTTATTGCAAATTTATTCAATATTTCTTAAATGTAACTTCAGGACAAGAATCCAAGACCAACAGCCAACCCAACAAAGACATTAATACATCAAATGAGTTTGAAAATATTCTTGTCTCTACTGATGGCGGTTTGAGGACAATCACAATGAACAGGCCTGATAAATACAATGCTTTGACCCCAAAGGTTTGTTGTTAACTACTAGAAAATCATGCTAGAAAATCACTACTAGAAAATCACCACCTCTTCTAACCATAACCAGCCATTTATTCAATGGTTTATCTCTAACAATTACCAGTCATACCCATTCAATAGACTACGTGTGATAAAATTAATGCCCAACATAAAGTTCTGATTAGAGCCATAGAAATAGACCAAAAAACAAATTGTAAAATTTAAATTTATTGTGACGTTTCGTCTTTACTCAAGACATCTTCAGACAAATAATAAATAGGACGTTAAGACAAGGTATTATATTTACAAAAAGGTGTTAAATTACTACTAAAGGAAGCGGTGTCAAATGGATACATGATAAGGAAGTTTGGAAGTGAAATGAAGAGAACTTAAAAGAGGTTAAGTGGAATGGAGTTTCCTTGCACATTAAGTGAAGGCTTGTGTTTATTGATTAGAAGGCTTTCATGGATGGAGAGTTCATAAGTATCGTTGGAAGAGGAGATTATTTTAAAGTCGTCTAAGTTGGGGGTGTGTCCAGTTGCGTTAATGTGAGCAAGAATGCTTGATGATGCAGGGTGGGAAACTTGGTTGCCTGTAGGGGATATTCCCAAGTGCTCCGAAAATCTGGTGTGTAGATGACGTGTGGTTTGACCCACATACGAAGCGTTGCAGCTTCGACACTTGAATAAATAGACTACACCAGATCTCAGAGGTTTGGGAATTTTGTCCTAAAGGGAAGAAAGAAGAGATACGTTGAGAAGGGCGGAAAACAAATTTAATGGATATATGTGGGAAGGCTGCAGCACAAAGGTTATTGATTTGTGTGCGAATTTGAAGGGAGTGTATGCCGGTGAAAGGAAGACAGAAATAGATGGGCATTTTGTGAGCAGTCAAGACAGGTGGTTTAGGGGCAAAGGTGTTGTTAAGGAAGCGACGTGTGATTTGGTCAATTATACGTGAAGGAAAACCGTTTTTGGTGAGTGACTTTCTGGTAAATTCGAGTTGTGTATGAAAATTTTCGTAAGTAGAGCAAAGATTGAAGATGCGGTGAAGTAAGCAGGAGACTAATGAAAGTTTGTAAGTGGGATGAAGCTGTGGAAGTTGGTGAAGAGGCCAGTGAAAGTAGGTTTGCGGTAGACGGAAGTGGTGAATTTTCCATTAGTACGAGAGATATCAATGTCAAGAAATGAGAGCTTTCTGTTTTGTTTGACTTCAGATGTGAATGTGATGTTAGGGTGTTGTAGGTTCAGGTAGTCAAGAAAGAGAGGGACGTGATCGGAGGAATGAAAAGTAAAAACAGTCGTCAACGTAGCGTCGGTAAAGTAGTGGTTTGAATGAAGAAGGACAATTATTGAGCCAGGATTTTTCGTATCAGCAAAGAGAGGGCCCAATGGACTGCCCATAGCCACACCATCAATTTGCTGATACATTTTCCGTTAAAGATAAAGTGACAGTTCTTAACAGCTAGAGAGAGTAGTTTTCAAATTCTGTTGCAGTGAGTCCGTTGAAGTACTGGTGGTTGTTAAAATGCTTTTGGATATTATGTGGATGGTTTCGTCAACAGGTATGTTAGTAAATAGGGATACGACATCAAAACTAGCAAGGACAACATTACTGTAGTTGATATCGCAGTTTAGAATTTCTTCAACAAACGAGAAAGAGTCTTTGATGATAAGGTTGCTTATAGTGAAGGGTTTTAGGAGTGGGATGAAAACTTTGCTAGATTATACGAATAGTGATTAATGGAGGAAAGAATGGGTCTGAGAGGGATGTTACATTTATGTATTTTAGGAAGGCCATATAATATACCTATTCGTGAAACAGTAGGGTAAAGTTCTTTGTACGTTTCTTGGCCGATAGATTTGGCATCTTTCAACTTTTTTAATAAAGATTTCACTTGATTTTCTCGTTGTAAAGTGACTTTGACTGGATCTCCATTAAGAGGTTGAAACTTTGTAGTGTCAGATAAGAGTGTGTCCATTTTCTTTGTGTAGTCGTCTTTGTTAAGTATAACGATGCCATTTCCTTTGTCAGGTTTAGTGATGAGGATAGTTCTGTCGTTTTTTAAATTATTTAAAATGTTCAAGTCTTCTTGTGAATATAGAAAAGGTGGTGGGCTGTAACTTCGGAAACCTGAGTGAGCAATGTCTTTTAATTTGCATTTGATCGAGTCTGGAAAAAATCCTGATGATTCATTAACAGGTTCTCGTTTGAGACGGTTGTAGAGTTTTTCAAAGGGTGTTAAGAAGGTGCAAATGTTTAACTTTTTCGGTGGGATGGAAAAGTTTAAGCCTTTTGAAAGGATTTCTTTCTCTCTGTCAGTAATGAGGCGGTTTGAGAAGTTGAACACCACTTTATCAGGGTCGATAAAGTCGATAACCTTTGTGCTGCAGCCTTCCCACATATATCCATTAAATTTGTTTTCCGCCCTTCTCAACGTATCTCTTCTTTCTTCCCTTTAAGGACAAAATTCCCAAACCTCTGAGATCTGGTGTAGTCTATTTATTCAAGTGTCGAAGCTGCAACGCTTCGTATGTGGGTCAAACCACACGTCATCTACACACCAGATTTTCGGAGCACTTGGGAATATCCCCCCTTACAGGCAACCAAGTTTCCCACCCTGCATCATCAAGCATTCTTGCTCACATTAACGCAACTGGACACACCCCAACTTAGACGACTTTAAAATAATCTCCTCTTCCAACGATACTTATGAACTCTCCATCCATGAAAGCCTTCTAATCAATAAACACAAGCCTTCACTTAAAGTGCCCCTGTCAAAAAAATGAAACTCACATATATGAATCTTTGTAATACGTACATGCGTTATTTGAAAATCGAATTTCGATTCTGAATTTAGTGCAGAAATTATAGTCATTTGAACATAGAATTTTGAGAAGTAAAAATTCGAAAACCGCGCATAAGAGATTGGTACCAAATCAGTCTAGTGACGTCACAGTAGGATCCGGTCAGGCCTATTGATCCACGAAAACATTAGAGCGTGTATTGTCGAAGTGTTCTTGTACTGTAGTTGGCGGCCCGAAAAAGTCACGCAAAATAGAAAATGCCAAATAGATGTATTGTGGCTGGTTGCTCTAATGTCTCTAATGTAAAAAAAGGAGTCTCGCTTCATTTCATACCGTTTTCCGGAGATGAAAGGCCAGAAGCCAAAATAAGACGTAAACAATGGATTGATTTCGTACGGTTGAAACGGGCAAATGGGATCCAACACCTAATTCCATGTATTTGCTCAGCGCATTTTGCAAAAGAAGATTTTTCGCAAATGTTTTCTGGTCTGTCGGCTAAAGTACCTAGATTAGCTACCGATGAGATTGGCGTCGTGGCAGTCCCTAAATATAATATTGCAGCTGAATGTCCCCCGTCAGCAAGAGCCAAGAGAAGGGTAAGTTTATTCATTCCATTTCAAGAGATTAACGCACGCTTTTAAAACATGGTAAATACAGTAAAATACACATGAACCTATTTTGAGAATCACTGTTTTGTACATAAATTTGTTGACATTTTCGAAAGGTTTTAAAGGAAGCATTGTCCACAAGTTTGTCTCGACCAGGAGAATCAGAAGAAGAGCCAGAGGATTTCGAACACTGCGTGCCAATGGAATTAAATGTGGATGAAGAGATACCAAGCGATGTTCCTTGCAGCAAAGTATATAGTATATACCTTTATTCCTGCTAGTATAGTGCGATCTTACAATTTGACTTGCTATTCGTGAGCTTTTCTGTCAAAACATATGTTGACCCCTACTGACATTATGCATACATTTTAAGAAAGACTTTTCTTTTAGACAAACAGCGCTTTGACTCAGACAGATGGTTGTGTTGGTTGTGCGTACCTACTGAAAGAGAAAAAAACATGGAACAAATATGTAGCTCTAAAAGCAAAATACGATGAATTAGTGAAAGCCAAACGTTCTAAAGGTATCGTGTTTGGCACATAAGTACTGCACACGTTTCGTGTTTTCACTACAGGGAAACCCGTATAATATTTCCGGCATTTATCAGCCGTGGTGCCGGTTATTATAGCTGTATTGCTAAACTCACGCAATAGAATTAAAAGAAGACATTTTATGTTAAATGATAATTTTATGAAACTTTTTTAAATTAACTTGTTCGATTTGTTTATTATTATGTAGGTGTTCAGTGCAATATACTGAATGACGAAGAGGTCATTCAGCACAGAGCTGAATCTGAAATGACGGCAGGCAACGACGTAAATGAAGAGTCTGAAGACAGCGAAGTTGAAATGGACACGGTTGCGGACGACGATTTTAAAATAGAAGACGAGGCTGAATCGGGAAGATCGGAATTTGATGAATTAGAAGATGAATGCAGAAGGTAAAATATTTGACTTGTTTGTAAATGCTATCTAATTGTGAATCATTCTATGTCTTGATGGCACCCGTATGACTCTATCTTCGTTTAGGAATCCTAGAGAAACATATACGGAAGGAAGAAAAATACATTGTTTTCCAATCCCAGTTGATGTTACTGTTTAAATTTTGCCATGTTTGCAAGGCAGATAACCCGCTCGTAGAAATGGTAACAGATGGTACACTAGTTGTTGTCAAAACAACCTGTGGAAACCCCGCGTGCGATAAAAGGAATAACATCTGGAAAAGTCAGCCACTTTTGCCAAACACAAAAGTAAATGCAGGAGACTTCCTTTTAAGTTTTGCCATACTTGTTTCTGGAGGATCTTCCACCAAAGTGATCAACATGTTTCGACACATGGGGCTTGCTACAATATCTAATGAGTCTTTCTATAGACACCAAGTGGTACGTTCTTTTGCATTAAAAATACTTGGACCGTTCTTTGTTCGAAGAATTTGATAGTATTTCTTATTCTTACTTAAGAAAATGGTGCTTCCGACAATCTTTCTTCACTGGAAAGACTATCAAAGAAAGATTCTTGATAGATTACAGGCTCTGGAATCAATTACCATTTCTGGTGACGCACGACATGACAGCATGGGTCATAGTGCAAAATATGGTGCTTATACAATATTTTGTTGTACTTCAGCTGAAATAATCGATTTTAGTTTGATCCAGGTATAAACAAATTTTAAAATTCAACCTCAAGCAATGTGACTATCATTCAAAGGTTATGCTGATTGTGTCTCTTCCTTAATTGTAGAAATGAGGTTGGAAGCAGTGCTATTCGGTGCTATTCGGTGCTGGTCGCTATTCAGTGCTTGTTCGCACTCTTCTATTTCCGTGCAACACTGACACTCTTTAACATTGTGAAGAAGCTCAACTCGACAATTGCCACATTTACACCTTAAAACGTTATTTTCAAAACTTAATAAAGAAGCTCTGTACTGTAAATTTCATTTAAAAGAAATCCCGATGAATTATATTACAAAACCATCAAATAATTACCATTGGTCATATTTCTCTTCGCCGTCAAGTCTACGTTGAAGTTCTTTCAAACGGTCATCATATTTTTGTTTTCTTCCACGGTAGTTAGAAAGCCATTCTTCATCAGCAACTGGTTCATTGCTGTATGGGCCAACGTCTGCGTTGTCATCTGTGCTTTTGTCGTCTTTAGTAGCGGACGCTTCACTTGTCTTTTTTATATCAAATATCCCGGGATAATAATTCCAATCAGAGTCGTCTGTTTGGTAGCTAGTACTTTCCGTGTCTGAGTTCGATGAGGACATTATTAGAAAAATTGAGCGAGTTTTGATTGTAAATATCGACCTTTGTACAATAATTTTTACTATTTGTAAACAAGCTGAGATGCGAACCGGTTCCTACTGTGACGTATTAGTTACCAGGTTTCCGACTTCGCGATTTTAAAAAACTTTTGCCGTTAAAATTTGAAAATTTTGCAATTCATACCGCAATAACTCGGCAAAAATCGTTTTAATTTAATTCTGATTTCCATTTTCATTATGTACATATTACAAAGATTCATATGTGTGAGTTTCATTTTTTTGACAGGGGCACTTTAATGTGCAAGGAAACTCCATTCCACTTAACCTCTTTTAAGTTCTCTTCATTTCACTTCCAAACTTCCTTATCATGTATCCATTTGACACCGCTTCCTTTAGTAGTAATTTAACACCTTTTTGTAAATATAATACCTTGTCTTAACGTCCTATTTATTATTTGTCTGAAGATGTCTTGAGTAAAGACGAAACGTCACAATAAATTTAAATTTTACAATTTGTTTTTTTTGGTCTATTTCTATGGCTCTAATCAGAACTTTATGTTGGGCATTAATTTTTTATCACACGTATTCGATTTCCGCTCGGCAAGTCTCTCGCTACCATTCAATAGACTACCTCTTCTAACCATGACCAGCCATTTATTCAAAGGTTTATCAAGATTTTCTTCGACATTTCCACCAGCTGCTGGTTCAGTTCATTAAAAGTTCCGTTTATTCAAAACCTTTTGAAATATGCAACAAAGGACAAATACTCTGCAACAAGGGGCCGCATCTCGCAAGAAGCCGCAAGTCTCTCATCAATTTTCATTCAATTGCTTCAAGATAGTACAATCATTGGGATTATTTAAGCCTCAATAAATAGATTTATGGAGTAATAATATGTACTTTAAAAGAAGAAATTCTCGTTGTAGTTTTGTCAACGCCACAAACGAAGAATAATGTTTACGAAGCTGAAAGCCACATGTTGTATGTACTTTGCTCATTATCACTTATTTATTAGCGGAAAGCTAAGCTGTTATGAATAGCGCAACTTACAAGATGCTTTATAATAACAAGAAAAATATAAATTTTGGAACTGAAACTGAATGTGATCTTGAGAAACATGTGAAGATGTTTATAGATAGTCACAAAGATTTCATGCGGTTTTCATGGCTTAAGAACATAATCTAAAACCGCTTGCTGTTTGCACACCTTTTACCTTTTTTTTAATAGAATGTTGAGCAGTAAAAGAAAATTTATGGTTTACTGATTGAGAAAGATCTGTAAGGCTACTAATAACTTGCGATTTCTCTTGCATAAAAAGGAATGAACAACTATAATTTTAAAAGTATAGTTTTTCACAGACGGTTTTTTTATTGTGAAATATTCTGTCTAATGCGAAAAGTTGTCCATCTACAACAAAATTCGCGGTAAAAGAGATTAACCACATATCAATGCTTTATAAAAAGTCAACTTGGGAGATTAGAGAAAGCTGTTAAGGCGTGGCACGAATCGAAAATTTTAAATTTTTTTTATGAATTTAAACTATTGTAATGTGTATGAATGAATTTGATTGGTTTTGCAATAAAATTTAAATTGACGTTGCAGTTTTGCAGCAACCCCATGGTGGCTGTTTCTTTTGTCTATATAACACGTGTTTTATAATAAAGTGATAAGTGTCGTTGTCTCTACAGTTCGCATCATATCGATGTAAATTAAAGTAAATTTGGACTGTGAGATAATGACTTCCCACATGTCTCATTTTGCTTCCTTTGAACATAACATTTTTTATATTTAGTTTGAGGAAGCAGCCATTGGCAATGAACTTTTAACATGCAATTGGCATAGAAGAAAGCGATCCGTTTTCAAACTGTGAATTTGTTAGTTTATGGAAAGTATTTGTGGTTTTCATATGCATCATGCTGATGGACTCCTTACAAAATAATATCATTGGATTCCCTTTGCTGTTAGGCGACATGGTGGATGCCCTTTCTTTGTTTGTTATTCCCATAAGACACACATGAAAACCAAGAATTGCTGTTTTCAAAATTATAATTAATGTTTGCTTGATGAGATGAAGACAAGAAAGAGCGACTCGCAGCTTTGGCAGAAAAACGTGTAAAGTAAATTTGGAATGTGATTGTCAAAAATTGAGATAACTAAGCAAGAAGAGCAGGGCTCAAAATAACGGCCAGGCAACGGACAATGATTTTCAAAAATGCCTATGTATCGGTAACATTTTCAGTTTTCCCATAATAATTTATTATTCGGTTTTCCTTTCAATATGCTTTTGAATATTGAGCGTCAATTTTACATATGTAAAACCATGCTTTCTCTAGTAATTATATGCTGGCTAGTGGCTTGTTGCATTGAAGGTTACGATTCCGTTCTCGTAAAGTGTGTCGTGAAAAGCGACACGCGGCTTTGCTGAAAACGTGAAAAGTATATTTTGAATGTGAGATGTATTGACGTCGGACATTTCTCGCTTTGCTTCCTTTGCAACATTACTCCTTTTACATTTAGGCAAGGTCGAAATTCGTTCGTTGAAATTTGGTGAAGAAGCCATTATCAATGAAATTGAAAGCGATGTAGTAAGTTTATGTTATGTTTCTATATCTTTAGATTATTCTTGGCTCGATGTTTTTCTTCAATCATATTTAGCAGATATAATCACTAACAACTTGATTTTCACGTTTGCTAGCGTCAGGAATACGTCTAAAGAGATATTGTGATAAAATTAATCTCTTAAAAATCTATTGTATTTAATTATTGGTACTTAGGTGTGTGAAATGTAATCTTTGGAGTTGTGTGCATAAACTATAGTTTTTGAGTGTGAGGTGCATGAAATATAGTGTTTGCCGGCTAATTGTGTGAATTATAGTGTTTATGAGTTAGATACAGGAAGTATAGTGTTAGTGAGTTAGGTGGATTCATTATAATATTTGTGATTTAGGGACATAGTCATGACAACGACCTTCTCAGGTCGTTGTCATGACTATAACAATTACTCGAGTGGAGTGCATGCTCGAGCGCATGCGAAGACGATTTCTCTATTAAATTGTTACTAAGGATGCTATTTACTTCAAAATTGGTGCTAGTAGATGCAGTTGGTCGTTGCCATAACCATGAATTAGGTAGCTGGTCAAGTTGACTGCGCATGCGCAGATGATTTGTCTTAAAACGTGTGACTGAGCGAGCTAATTACTCCAAAATCGGTACTAGTACATCCAGTTGGTCGTTACCATGAGATTGGAGAGTTTGTGGAGTTGACAACGAATGCTCAGGTTCTCAATTAATTTGTGACAGAGCGAGCTCTGAAGTTGGTGCTTGTAGATGCGCTGAGCAAGTTTTCCATCGTATATTTTTGGCATGCTCTTTGTCTACTCAAGCTTGTTTTGTTAAATGCATGTGAAACTCGTCAACACTTTGTTACGGCACTCGTAATATCCGTGACAACGTTAAAAATGTTTTTTATTTTTCTCTACAACTTTACATCTGCATATTTCTTGTCATATCCAAGCTTTGACGCTTTGATTTGACGGGAAATGGTTTTTATTCACTCTTACATCTTCTGCATTTATAATTAGTCGATCTGTATTTCTAAACTAATATTTACAAATGCCCCAAGAGAATCTTTTTATTTTATTGGCTCTCTTCTACAAATACAATACCATGTCCGACTATTTGATTGCACGAATTTTGTAATTTGATCACGTTTTTTTGACACGTGTGTTTACCATGGGAAAGATGGATTGCTTAAATGTACGTAGTTGTTTAGACTAGTTGGATCCATAGTTATCCTGTAATATATACTCTTGTGAAACAACAATGAGCATACGTAGTGTGTCTTCTATAACCTCTATTGTTGTTCTCCACTTCATCATCTATCCATATTTGCTCTTTTTTAGTTCTCAGCTCAACACAACCCTTGTCTAAAGTTCCTAAAACCTTGATCTACGCAAGAAAGATCTCTGGTGGTAACATATTAGGTATGGCCAGTGGTTGGTCGTCGTCATTGAGCCTTGTGACACCAGTTCAGTAGACGTTAATTGTCCTGAAGACGTTGAGGAGGTTGCTAGTAAAGCGTCGCCTAAACCAGAAGTTAGTTTTCATGGTATGCTAACGGATTACGCAAACGTTGTTAGGAATAAGTTCACATCAAATGGTTATGGTCTCGTTCCATCGTATTCTGAGAAGGTTTCATGTTCATCCTGTATCATTCACCAATGTTACAAATACTTAGTTTTTTTATGCTTTTTGAAATTGTCGTTTTTATGACTATTATTTTAGAGCATAGACATTGAAGAATCTTGTGGTAGTAGAGGTATTTTCAACATTTTTTTGTTGAAAAACTCTCTAGTTTCAATTCTTCGAAATTTCTTATCTTAATTTTCACCTTTACTTTAGAATCCTTTCTATACAAGAAATCGTCGGGATTTGAGGTTCTTTATACGATATATTGAATTTAAGTTTTATAACGTTAATAACCCTCATCTGTCCATGGTAATTTTGCTATAATTCTATGGATAAATTATGTTTTTATATATAACAGATTATTGATGATC